GTAAACTACACTTCGACAATGACCTGTTAATACAAGTAAAATGCGATAAATATTTCATGCCTAATTCAGTTTACCTCTCAAAAATGGCTAGTTACTAGTTTTTGGAAAAACCATGTCGTTTATTCGCTGAAATCAATTCCAACAGATCGTACTTCGACATCGATTATTCACTTCCGCATTGCGTTACCGGAAAGTCTTCGGGAATTTCCAAAGAATTGCGTCAGTACAACACAGCATTCTGATTAGTTAATAACCAACTTGACCCATTAGGTCAAAGGACCTGCTGTAGGTCAAATCTGCAATGGCATCATGGCGGAAAGTGATTTTCATCGAGAGTTTGCGTACAATCCAACAACTTCGTCAGTGGAAATAATATGACAATTTTGACTTTGACTGTGTTCCAACAGACTCAAATGTTTTTAATTCCGTAAATTATGGTGGTACGTAATTAATATTGTAATAAAATGTGCATTTTTTTTGTAATCATTTCTGTTTCTTCATTGTGAAAATCAATGACGGCGCAACTAATTTAGTAATTTGATTTTCCATCAAAGACGTAATCTGTCACTTGATGAATAAAAATTTTTATTTGCACTCTTTTTCGAGGGGGATGCTCGGGTAAGCGCCCACCCCTACAAAATCGTGATTTTCTGAGTTGAGGCCCCTGGGCGCTAACGCGGTCGAGTACGGTAGTAATATTAATCAACTAATTTGCATATTTGGTCATTTCCTCCCTATTGTACATGTATTTCATTGAGTCTGCTCAGATGAAATGTAATTTAGTACATTTATACCCCTCATGTTTGTTGCCATGACAACATACTGAAGATTTAAGTTTAGAAAGAAAACCTGTTTTATTTTTCAGAATTATGAGATGGCAATTGGCTATAAACGCGAGTTAGACTCTGCGGGTTATAAACCGACTGCTGCAATATACGCCATGTTGATGAACTTGGCTGCTAACTTGGGTAAAGTAGATGAAGCTCTCGAGTTCAAACGTGACTTGTAAGTGAATATATTGAGTTTTCAACAAATTTTTATTTAAACACAAAGATTGCATAACCCTCAAACGACATTCAACATGCCACACCATCAACACACAAATTAAGCATTTCAGCAATCGACAATGTATAAACAACACCACACCGATGATGCTAAATCTGTGAGGCCTCAATTTGTGTTGCTGATGTGTCCATTTTTAACAATGTTCAATTTATATATGGCATATGATGATGAATATCCCATTAAATTTATTTTTTCAAAGTATATCAAATAAATATAATATTACTTATTTTTAGGAGAGACCAATGTTCATGAAATTTTGTTGTAAATCCTAATTTTTTTCCACCCAACAGAGAAATACATTCACCCGCTGACTTTCAATTAAGTGATTCTAAGTACATACGTTTAATCAAGGCATTAGCAGTGGCTGGAAGAATGCAAGGTAAAAAAACAAATTAAAACTGAATTTCATATATCTTATTTTTGCATAGCACCAGGATTATTGAATAATTGTCGCTACTAAAGGCCTCAACATTCCATGATGAATTGTAATAAATCGCAGTGCAACTATTTCAAATGATTTGATCATGCCTGATATATCTAATAAATCGCAGTGCAACTATTTCAAGTGATTTGATCATGCCTGATATATCTAATAAACCGCAGTACAACTATTTCAAATTATTGGATCATGCCTGATATATCTAATAAATCGCAGTACAACTATTTCAAATGATTTGATCATGCCTGATATATCTAATAAATCGCAGTGCAACTATTTCAAATGATTTGATCTTTTCTGATATATCTAATAAATCGCAGTGCAACTATTTCAAATGATTTGATCATTCCTGATATATCTAATAAATCGCAGTGCAACTATTTCAAATTATGCCCGATATAATTATGTGTGACTTACATGTATTTACTTTTGTTCAACCCAAAGAGTCCCTGGATCTCATAGGCGAAATGGCAAATCAGAAGATAAAGTACTCAGTATTTTTGGAAAAAAACATCTTCCATGTATTAAATGATGTTGCAATGTCCGGTGGTGGTGCAGAGGCGGTCAAACAGCTGGTGGAGAAGTTTTTAGAAACTGGCATAGTGAACCCTACAGCTCGGATGTTCTCCCCCTTGGTTACGAGTTACTTACTGAAGTGAGAATTGTATATATTGTTGATCATGTTAGGAAATTATGTTAATCACACATGGGAATTGTTGAATATGTTTGGTAATTGTTGATCAAGTGGCATTTGTTGTTCTTGTTTGTTGAAAAGCAACATTGTATCAAAGAAAATAATATTAAGAATTTTGCCACAAAGTTGTTCAAAAAGTTTCGGCTAATTCACATATTGTTATATACGAACCCTTATTTATGATATTTTTCAGCGATAATGTTTCGGGAGCTCTTGACTGCGTTATAGAAACTCACAACAAGTATCAGATTGTTGCCAGACTCCATGATGTACTTGTAAAACTTGTTGAAGTTGGTGACAAGGAACAGTTACAGAAAGGTAAAAGTTTTAATATATCTTCTTTTCAGATAACTGTCATTAACTCTTTGGTGCTGTTTACCGTTGAGGTTCCCGGTTGAAAACATTATGTCTTTGTCATTAATATTTCATGGTACTCTTTTTGAATGAATAGAAAGGTATTCACCTCGAAATAATGTGGACGTCTACTCTACATAGAATTTTATGGTGATGTTTTGCTAGTGTTTTATTTGTGGGCATTTTCTGACATGTGATCTTCCAGCGCAAATACATTTCATTCAAGTTTATACCCACAATATTGTACTCATACTGCTGTTGTTCATTTCATAGCTATGATGTTCTGTATGCAGTCAGTCGGCGATGCCAATGCGCTTTATGATTTAGTATTTGCATTTCTATCAGCCGGGAAATACGATCAAGCACGGAGAGTTATTGAGGTAACTTTTTTACTGATGGACATTTTTATGTCTTTGTTATTAGCACTTCAGCTGCTTATCTTTTGACCTAGTCACCAGAGTGGAGTAAAGAATAGACTGGATGTTTAATCATTGGTAGTTGAACTTTTGTTTTGAGTTTTTCTCAACTATTGCATATTGTTGGTCTGAGATTTCTTCATTAAGTCTTTTAGCACCAAATTCTTTTTTCTATCACATTAAGAGTAAATATTTTCACATGTAATTTTCTGAATTCTCTCTTAATTTTGGACCAAAAAAAAAACAAAATATAACATTAGTTCTAGTTTTCAAGAAAAAAATGTTTTAAATATTCACAACATTTTATGTGGAAAAGAGCAGACGAAAAAGGGACAAGCAGTCTGTTGGCTGAATTAGCTCCGCTTTTACCAATGCACATTGCAATTAAAGAACAGAAGATATCATTAGAAAATGAACAATATGTATAGTATCAAAGCAATCGGACTTGCTGTTTTCAACAAGAATTCGAAAATATCACTTTTTAATAAAAATGACAAAAATATTCACCAAAATTAGAGAATTGAAGATATCATCATGAAATGAACAAATCTGAGAGAGGTCCACATGTAGTACCTATATGTATAATATCAAAGCAATTGGACTTGTGGTTTTTAACAAGAAGTCAAAAATATCACTTTTTACCAAAAATGACAAAAATATTCACCAAAATTAGAGGATTGAAGATATCATCACAAAATGAACAAATCTGAAAGAGGTCTGCCCAAGGTACATATACACCAAGTATCAAAGCATTCAGGCTTGTAGTTTTCAAGGAGAACTCGAAAAAGTAAAACATTGACACGGACGTCGGCGGACAATTACTCATATGATAAGCTCTGCTCGACAAAGTCAACAGCGGAGCTAAGAATTCTGTCGATGGTGCGTGAAGTTGACTTTGACACTCAAAGGGTTGTAGTTATGATACTAACTATTTAGTTTAGACTAAAAATGCTGCTTCTTTGTTTGGAGAAAAAAACAGAAAAAATATTTTATATAATATATAATATTTGCTTTTTGTATTTTGTCAATATGACAGAAACCAGGTTTTCGGTATAGAGCACAACGTGTGGAATGGTACGCGACTAAATGCATCAAAACGGGTTTCGAAAAACAGTTGGAGGAATTGGTGGAGATTACAAAAGACCTGTTTGAATGTGACCGAGACAACATGTACTTCCATTTGCTGAAACTTTATGGTGAGTATATGAGTTGTATTTGTGTGATGTATACATATAATTTGACGATGGTCACTTGGTTGTGATTGTTGCATTGCAGTAGTAGGAAATCTGATCAACCAACTCTCAGACTGGAAGGTTTCCTTTCAGAATGTCTTCAAGTTTAGCATGTGTAGGTTTTGAACGCTCACAGACCTTTTTCTGATATTTTCTGATATTATTTATCAAGATCTATAACCAGTTGGAAATTATGTTCATTTAGTTCAAAATTATTAAAGTAATTATTATATAGAAAAATATGTGATGCAAAAAATGTTGGACCAAATTTTGGTGGGAGGATTTTTGATTTTTTTTATGGTCTGAGGCCATTTTGGAAATGATGTTTTAATCTGGATAGCAACACAACATTGCTCACCTGCCACCAAAAATCAACTCCAACTTCAGCAGATATTGACTTTGTCCTTGACAATAAAATTTCTGTAGTCTGATGAA